AACAAAACTTTTATCATGGTATTTTTGTTTGCGTGTGTGTGAATGTGTGTGAGAGACACAAAGAGATTGTTTGGGAGTGTAACAAGGGAGGAGGAAAAAAGTTCCCACTTGGCCAGTGACTGTCCTTTTGTCTGGTCACCTGTCAAACACTCCAGCAGGCATTAACATGGATTTTTGCACATGGGATTTCAGATTGCACCAGCAAACACACACACATATACACACACTTAGATTTTCTAAAAGATCTGCAACAGCAGAGGAGAGTGGAGAGGGGTGCCTGAATGGACAGATTAATCAGATTATAGCAGTGACACACTTAAACAGGCTGTTCTCTGGATTAGCCACGGTCCTGCCTACACTTCACCACAATGAAAAGTGCAAGAGGAGAGATCAGACTATCACGCGAAATACACATTAAAACTTTTAAACATGTTTTGTTTTGGTTCCATGTCCTACAACTTCAATAAAGCCACAACCTGGACATTGGGAAACGCTAAATATTAGCAGCAGATGAAAATTAGAAGCAAGCCCTGTTGAGTGAATGAGTACTTCTCTATATATTTGACCATGAAGAAGTTTCGATTTCACCCCAGAAGTTCAAAGAGTGCTGCTCTTTATGTGCAGCAGGGCAGCATATGGCAGCCAGTGACCAGGGCTTTGTCTGACTACTGACACCAGATAGATGCCGCGAGGGAGGACACGAGTGTTTGCGACTGTTTCAGGGGCCGGAGGACAGCCTGACAACAACAAAGGACCAGCTTTAAGCCTGTCTCCTGTGATTTTCCAACTCAGCGAAAAGCTATTGTGGCACTGAAAAAAAGTTAAGTTAAAAAGCTTAGCATGGTATGTGCTAACAACTGCCTGCTGCTCATGTAATACAAGCAAATACTTTCTGAGCAGCCACAGTGGCAGTCTTTGGAAGGGCAACCGTCACCGTGTCTGCAGCCGGTGTGCAGGTCACTGGTTCAACGTTCTGGTCTCCAGAGCCTGATAGGCTGCATGGCTGGATGGTCCAGTTAAGGAGGCGCTGAAAAAGCTGCAAACCCCCATCAAAATTACAGCTTTTTGAGAATTGATGAGAAACATTTCCAAACTTTTTTCATACAACTTGTGACACGAATTCAGCTACAAAACAAACAACGCTGTTATGGGGGAGAATAGGAATTAAAGACCTGAAATAACTTACTTGCATTAGTGTGTACACTACTGACTAAATTATTTTTGTGAAGCCTTGTTATTTACTTTACACATTTGGTCTTCTTGAGCTGACACCATGAACTACAGTAACTCCAATGTACCCTGAATAATTCATTGGAGTCGTAATTGGATTTTCTCATTTCCATCAGCTACACCCATAGTTTCTAGAATCAAAAGATTCAACTCTTCAGTCAGGAGAAGAGTTAATTGAGGTGCCAGTCAACACTGGAAAATATCTCAGGTCATTTCTGAGAACATGTATTTAATGGTGACCTATTCTATTGTGCTTCCTAGAACAGGTTAGTATGGGTCTGTACAAAACATGTTCATTAAATTTTGAGCACAAAATCAATCTGCTCAGTTCTGCCTCTTTAATAATGAGCTCTTTTAGGATCTCTTGTTACTTTAAATCCAAAGAAGCTGGCCGCGCCCGCTAACTTCATATTCACACTTCCATGTGAAAATGCCTGCAAACAGAGGCACAATTATACAACTGTACAACTTTGAAAAGCAGAAGTGGAGCCTCATACACAACCAACAAGAATGCAGCAAGTGGTTTCGGGTGGATCCAACCAAACACTTGTCTTTTCCCGTAGCCATTGTCGAGTGTATGTAGCAGATAAACCAACTGACCAAATGTGCTGGAACTCTGGTTGGATTTCTGGGTGGAGAGCTGGGCTCTGCTGGAGTTGCCTGTTAAATGTGACTTAATAATGAGGAGACTTTTGAAACTAAAAAAAATGACTTAATAGCCAACAATCATTTCATGTCTTTTTCATTTTTAAAAAATACTTTGGTTGTTTTTAGAAGCAAAACCAAATGGAAGTATAAAAACCTGCAAAATGTCAACTTTGCATAATTTGTCCCCTTTTCAGCACCTCCTTGAGTCTATAACATGATGATTTAAGGCCTGGTGAAGCAAAATGTGGTCCAGTTGTACTTATAGAAGTGTCTGTTTATAATTGTTTTAAAAAATAAGTTTTTTGAGGGTTGGTAGGTTTGGTCTTTGGACCCTACAGACTAGCAGTTAGCTACATCATCCAAAGATGAAAGATGAGATGCTTGAAATCTCACTTCAAAAATCTTGAGCCAGACCTTTAAAGCTTTTGTTAATTTTAGTGTGATTTACAATGATTCAGTTTGAAAACAATGTGGAATTAAATGACTCTGAGACTTATCAGGCCTTCTGCATTCACTTTTAAAAGTGTGAGACACAAACTGTAATATAAAAGATGATTTTTAGGACATGAAATGAGGAAAGAATAAATGTAAACTACATGTCACATCGATTTGTACAGCGCCTAAAAATGTCAAAATATTTGCGAGCAACACAAGGTTGACCTATTTTTTTATGTTGCTGGTAAAAATAACGCAGAGTGATGTTAAAGAGTTGTCCTTAATTTTTTCTGTTTCTTATTTTGAGATCAGTCAGCCACATTATGACTTCTGTGTCTCTGTGTTAATGTGACAAATGTCAACACTTAATCCCGTTCTTCTTTTTGGTAAAAGTTCTGATCATCCGTCATCCAGTTTTAAAGCCTATCTGGTGTGTGTTTATAAAAGAATGCAAACCATATGAGTTTCTTTGATGGCTGCCTCTACTCTCTCAGTGGTCGCTAAATGGGACACACACACACACTTACACACACATTTATATACAGAGCGTAGTCAGGCAGGGGCAACTGGGACTAAATCCAGACTGGTGGTTTCTATCTCCAGCTATAAATACCCCTCTTCTTAAACAAGATCACACACATGAACTTGTACTCAAATAAAGACGCTCATAGACAAAAAGAGATCCAGTCACAAACACATTAAGGAAATGAAACACACACATTTGGACTAACATTCGGATCCTCACAGAGAAATGACTTTGGCCTCAGAGGAGGCTTGCTAAGCGGTCTATGATTATGGGGTGTGTCTTTGTCTCATTTAGTGGTTCCACAAGGAGACAGTCTTCTGCTGTGTCAGACAGATACACACACACAGGCAGCCCCCCCACCCCCCGCACACACACACACACACACACACACACACACACACACACACACACACACACACACACACACACACACACACACACACACACATCATGCAAACACTACTTACACAATCACTTAGTGATGGCAAATCCCTCTGCCTAAATTTGTTAGACAACTTTTTAACGTGCTTGTGCTTTCATTGCCGTCTTCTGGGTTAATCCAAGCAGTACTGCCTTAGCATGAAAATATTTTCCAGCACCAGAATAGATTTCATTTCTCTTTTATTTTGGAAAAATATCACATTTTCCAGTTATAAAAATGACAGGCTTTGTACATACGACTTTTCTCTTAAATACAACACAGTCACAGTGGTCTCAAGTGCCTAACACATGCATACATACATACTTACATACATACATCATCTGCCAAATAAAAACAACACGACTTAAATTATAACAGGATTAACAAAAACAGCACAACAAAATGAAGCAAAAAATAATTACATAATTAAATTAAACGCATACATCTTTCTTTAGATAACAAATAAATTTAGAAAAACAAAACAAAAGATTCTAACCAGCGGCAGGAGGAGTCATGGTGCCCTTGAATTGGCTGATAGTGGAAGACTGGGGCGGGAGAGAACAGTGCATACATCGACACCAAAAGCGGCCATTTGCTTCTTCTGTACACACACACTTGCACACACACATATGCACACACACCTCTATAGTGCAATGAGGTCTTGGCAGTTAAGACTTTATAGCGCGGCCTTGTTCTCTTGGAAAAACATTATTACAAAGTCGGGGAAAAAAAGAAGCCAAACAGTCAGGTTTAGGTTGAACAAATGTTTTGATAATTAAATATGATGCCTGTATTGGTCTGATTTATATCCCTTGCCCCAAGCATTGCCCTTTCTATCAGACGTTTCAGGGCTCAGAGGCCAGTATGGCCCAACAGTATCCATGGTGGATCGATCTGCAGTCACTACTGGAGTTTTCAGTTCTCTGTTTTCTGCTGAGAACCAGCTCAGCTACATCTGCCAGTGCTGTAGAGTTGAAGGTGTTCGGCTGTCCTACAAGTGGTCCTAAACTTTAGATGATCTGATATGCAAAGTTCTGCTTGTGATTCCTTGAATGAATTTCTACAAATGGTCTGCCTAAAATTACGGGGACTGTTGCAACAGCTCCACACTCCACTCTGCAGCACTGTGCAGAACATAAACTACCGGAAATCCAGGACAGATTTTACACAGCAATGTAAAACCACAGCACGTAACAGTACTACAGCAGTACTTTAAAGGTTTTCAGTACACTAAAGGTACTACATTGTTCATTCAGTCGGTACATCACCGTACAATATCATCGGTCAATATCCAAGTCAATGCTCCGCTGCTTATCAGGAGAGAACAGTTCATCCACTGATGAGCTGTAAATCTTCCAGTGCTGCAAGGAGGCATCAAGCAAGCTCTTTGTGAGTTCTCCAGCAGTTTTTGACTGTCTGAGACAGCCTTGTGTCTGTACAAGTGCTGGCACCTTGTTCTGGCACTTCATCCAAAGCATAGAGTCACCAAAAGACCTGCGTCCGTCGAAGGCCAAGGATATTGTAAATTGACCCGTAGTATCACTGTAGTCCTCAGTCAAGGCCAAGCAGGTGATGCGTCTTCACTGGCACATTATCACCTTGGCTCAAAGTCCTCTAGGAAATCCCAGGGAACAGCAGCAAACAGCAGGAGTAAAACCTCCCAGAAACAAGCTGAGCTCTACTGCTCAGGGTTGGTGTGTGTGGACTAACATCAACCACAGGAAACTGGTACCATAACCACAGGAAACTGGTACCATAATTATACCTGTAAAACAAAGTAAACAAAGTTAGTGCTGAGGTACCAGTACAGATGGAAAGTTATTTTTCTGGTGTGGAAGCTCAAACAGATAAAATAGAGTGTGTTCTCACCTCTGTAGCAATGATACATTCATCTTTCTGGTCTGATATGACGTAAACAGACTGGTATTTGGTATCGTTGGAACAGGGGTACCGGCTGTCACTGGGAGTAGGGTACACAGCCTCACTGGTTGGCTGGAATTTGAGGTCGCAGGTTGACTGGTACTGAGGATCTCTCGCTGTATGACATTTTAAATCAGAGGATGGCTGATCTTTTGCTTCGCTGCATCCTGGTGACTCTGCTGATGCTTTCTTTTCCGAAGCATCACTGTAGGATGAACAACAAAGAGATTAGAAATACTGCTCTTCATTCTACGTGGGGTTGTAATGTGCTTAGGGTGATTCTTGAGTACCTGTTCTGTCTTTTCCTGAATCCTTCCCCTCTGCTGGGCTCATCCAGTGGCTCACATTTGGGCTCTGGTTGTTTGCATTCCTCCTCTGTACATGGTGACAGATCTTCTTGCCGGAGTTCATGGACCAGGTTGTACTCCACACTTGGGTAACGAGGCTTAAAGCCATTTTTCTCAGATCCATTGAGGCTGCTGATTCCGCTCAGACCCCCAATTGACCCAGCAAGGTCCGAATGATAATCTGCTTTCTTATTGGTGTTTTTAATTGATGTCGTCATCATACCACCAAGCTCCTTGTCACTTCGAAGACAGTTATTGGTTGTGAGGTTATTCATGGTCTCCTGGCTGTCACTGTGAACACTGTCACTATGGTGACTGTGTCGGGTTTGTAGTTTGACGCGAACATAGACCACCAACACAGAGCAGCTGATCAGGATCACAAGAACGAGGAAAACGCCAGCAGAGACAGCCGTCCACGGGAATCCGCTGTCGTCATCCTCCTCAGTGTCAGTATTCCCACTTTCTGAAGATGAATATCGCCGATCTGGACCATCAACGACTGGCTGGGAACCCTTGGGAACCTCTGGTAGGAGGAACTGGCAGTTATTCCCACCGTAGCCCGGGACACAGGCACACACATAGCGACCACTACGCTCATGGCAAGTGGCTCCATTATGACACGGGTTGTGAATGCAGCGAGAGATCGGAGAGCTGCAGTTTTTGCCTGTATATCCTGCAAGGAAAAGTTCAGAGTCTCAAAAATGGGTCCAAGCAACATTTAGAAATAAAGTAGATTAAAAATGATCATACCTGGTGGGCAATTGCATGTGTAGCCATCCAATGTGTCCTGGCAAGTTCCACCATTCCGACAAGGAAAGGACTGACACAACGTAGAAATGCCGTTGCTGACCTCACAGTTGGGCCCCAAAAATCCCTCTGGACACTCACACAGGTAGGAGTTAACTAGATCCACACATTCTGCGCCTGTACAGTGAAGTATCATTAAGATTAGTCTCCCAGTTCCTCACCACTTGATTTAGAAGTAAATGTGGAGTAGGGTATACTGATAAACACAACAACCTACCACTTAGACAAGGATTGGAGGAGCAATGGTCAATTTTCTTCTCACAAGTGAACCCAGCATATCCCATAAGGCACTGACAGAAGTAGCCTCCTTCAGGGTTGTCCACACAACGTCCACCGTTGAAACACGGCCCGTCTGCACACGTATTGGCACTTAGCTCACAGTTGTTTCCATAAAAACCAGGTGGACATGTGCACTTGTAGCCATTGTCATTGTCCTGTTGACAACAATTCTTGGTTATGCACAAACTTAAGGCAGTTGCTGTACCCAAAGACATTCTCATGTCTTTAAAGTGGTACTCACGATGCAGCTGCCTCCATTTCGACAGGGATTTTCTGAGCATTCGTCAACTTGGATCTCACAGTTTGCACCGGTGTATCCAGGGGGGCAGGAGCATGTGTAGCTGCCCTGGCCCGTGTTGGTGCAGGTGGCTCCATTAAGACAAGGCTTATGGTGTGTACAGTAATTCAGGTCTGACAATACAAACAGTTGCACTTATGAGCCAAACAGATTAAATACAAAACAAGCAAAGACAGAAGAAATTCAAAGAGCAACGCGGCATTTTAGTGAACTTGTCTACAAACTCACCCTGGTTGCAGAAGAGCCCGCCCCATCCCTCCTGACAGTTGCACTGCCAGGGTTGTTGGCAGGTGCCGTGGAGGCAACCTGGGTAACGGATGCAGTCATCACAGTAACGCCCACTGAATCCCACGCGACACCTGAGAACACACCGGCCAGTTAATATCAAACTGAAGGAGACGAAGGTCAGGGTAGCTTAGGTTAGAGAAGGGCTGGACAAGATGGCCGAAAAACATATCATAATATAAGCATTTCATATCAGTTGATATTGGTAACTACTGATTAGTTCGTTGCTTTAAATATCTGAAGTACTACCAGACTAATAGTAGAACATTTACTCTTTATTCACAGCTTTTACTCCAGGCTGTAGTTTTTTATTTTAAGTAGTTATGAGGCACAATGGCAAAACCTTAAACTGCTGCTGGGCAAGTTACTCAACTAGGTAACCAAATGTTCCTCAGCAAGTTGTTGCAAGGTAACCAAAGAGTGAGTGAGTTAGTTGAAGGCATCAATTCAGTGGCCAAAGCATTTTCTCTGCCTTCGTCTCCCAGAATGCTGTGCGGTTCCGGAGTTCAGTGAATATTCTATCAGACGTATTATCTATTTAAAGTTGATCACGAGTCTATTGCAGTGTATATTGTTACTGATTTACTGTCCAGCCCTAGTTTACAGACACATAGAAGCAGCTTGTTTTGAACTTACTTGCATTCTCCTGGTTTGTCACAGAATCCATGTTCTTCATCACATCCAGGAAGACAAATAGCTGTAAAAAGAACACAAACAGATCAGCCAAACCATGAAAAACAAGATTTTCAAACGGCAACCATAAAAAAAACAGCAACATTTACATTGCTTCTTGCTTGTCTGCCTCCTGAATTGTGTGTTTACTCATCTGACTCCTCTTTCTGTCTGTCTGGTTCACGTTTTAGCATGTTGAAGGGAATCATTGTTATCGGGTCATGTGTGACCACCCTTAGGTTTTAGGTGTTTTGATGAAATACTACCTTTCAGCCAAGCTGGAAGCTATCACAGTTTGGGTCTCAAAGAAGGAGAACCAGCCAAGAAGCCCCTCTTTTAACAGGCTAGCTCCACAACAAAAAGCCCCCCACACAAAGCCCCCTTTCTCCCCTTGACTGTGGGTCAGAAGTCCCCTTTTCTCACCCCTTGCCTCTGTCCTCCTCCTTTTTATTTCCTTCATCCTCCGTCCTCCATCCCCTCCCCTACTCCTTATCTCCTCTTCCTCCTCCTCTCCCCTTTTTTCCCTCTCTCCTCATTCCCCTCCTCCTCCACCTTTTCCCCCCAGGGCCAGCTGGTCTGTGAGGAGCTAACCACCAGACAGCTGCTCCATTGTCTCCTCTCACTGAGCAGCTGCCCCCTCCACAACAATACACGACCCGGCTCGGCCAATCACCGGCCCCGGCCGCAACAATATAGGACCCCCACTTGGCCAATCGGGGAGGAGGTTTGGGGGCGAGGAGGCCCCAGCGGTCTAATGGAAGGCACGCGGCGTGTGAATTACTGAGGAGCCACCGCGGCTCATTAGAACGGAGGCCTCTGGTGCAATGGGATAACTGACTGACGCCTGTTGCACACGGGCCCTCCATTATGAGCTGGAAAAAGTCTCTGAGAATAAAGAGAGGCAAACGACTGCTGGAGAAATAAACTTCAGATTGAAAAACTGTTGTTTAAACTGTGCAGGAAAAAGAAAAACCCCAAAATCTTGATGATGATTGCAAGACAATTCCTTTAAAATGGAAGTGATTAGGTAGCAACTAATCGAAGTTTGGTGGTAACTACTTACATTTACTTATGTAGGTTTTCGGAAAAAATGTACTTTTAGAAGTATTTTTGCTCTGCTTTTAACTCGGTATTGTTAAGTATCTCAGCTCTTACTTGAGTAAAATCTCTGGATCTTTTATCCACTGAATGAAAAACAAGCAGGTTTTTAACCAAACACTAAATAGACACAAACACTTGGAGGAGTTTTTGTTAAAGTTTTCTAAATAAAGAAACAGATTTTGAAAATTTGTGATTTTGTTAAATGAATCATTTTCATTCTGGTTCTTAACATGCAACTTTATACTTAAAAAAAACTTTATACTTTATACTGATGATGTTTTAAATATTGAATGATTGATAAGTTAAATGATTGAATAGACTTTTACCAATACTTTCAGAGTAATTTTTTAGCTGCTTTTTACTTTAACTTGAGTGGAAACCTGTTGAATTAGTGCTACTCTTACTTAAGTACAACTTTTTGGGTACTCTACTCACCACTGTATCTGACCAATGTACTATGTTGTGTTAGTCAATGATATACGGATTACAGAATACTGTAATCCGTCATGTGAGCTTGATGCACTCATCAGCCTCCTCTGCTTCGCATCAGATCCAAATATTAGCCACTGCTTGACCACTGAGTTGGAAAAGCCTCTCTTCACTTTTTATCCCTCCTCCCTGCTCTTTCATTTAGCTTCCCTGCACCGGCGTAATGAAAGAGTTCAATCAATGAGCAAACCCACTCACGTTCAGTGCAGTACTGGCCTTTCCAGCCAGAATTGCATATGATTTCCCCTCGCTCGCCGCAGGTAAAGTGTCCAAAGGCATCGTCCCGGGGCCGGCAGAAGACGGAGCAGCCGTCGCCGTAGTAGTGCTCATCGCACAGGAAGCGGTAGGAGAAGCGCAGCTCCGTCCTGCTGGCCGTCTGCATGTCCTTGGACCATTCCTCTCCTACGGTCAGGTGCCGCTGCGTGGTGAACCTGCTGATCAGCCGCTCTGGGTTGTCTGCAGAAGAAGTGAGCCACAGTTTCAACAAGGTCATTGGTTGTCACCCTGAAGGTCAAGATGCAAACCTTCAGAAATTGCTGTTTTTGTCTGAAACAAAAACAGCAATTTCTACTGTCAGTGTAACTTTAGAGCAATAAATGATGGGAAGATGCGACCAGAGCAAACTTTAAAATTAAACCCTAAATAAGAGTCAAAATCACACACAAATGACCTTATTTTAGGTGAAATGTTGAAATGTAAAAAGCATGAGTGAATCCTGATGATATCTGAGTGGGAAAACATGGCTCTGCACACCAACGAGGCCATCATCTCCCTCGCTTTCTCTCTCACACACACACACACACACACACACACACACACACACACACACACACACACACACACACACACACACACACACATACACACATCAGTCCTGATGCCCACCTGTTGTCAGGTCTTCCAGGGAGTCCGTGTGCAGAGCTTCAATGATCAGTGAAAACGTCCCCTGAGGAGAGACAGACAGAGTCAACAGCTGCTCTGCTTGCAAATGAACCTCCCCCTTACCTTCAGCCTCCAGAGCCATTAGGAGCCCTCATAAACTTCACAGTCTAATTCTAATACTGATTAGAAGCCTAATAAGGCCAGGCGACCTGCTCCTTCTTCTTTTCACACCCCTGCTACTATCACACTTTGACACCGCTGTAAAACCCAAAATGAGGCGGAATTTCACGCTGCGCTGCAAATGATGTGCCAACTCAGAGGATGTTAGATTTCCCACCACGGCTGATCGGAGGGGGAAATCATTTTGGTGACAAGGCCTCTCTCTCTCTCTCTCTCTCTCTCTCTCTCTCTCTCTCCCTCTTTCTCTCTCTCTCTCACACCCACATCCCCTCCCTGTTTCATCCCACCAAAGAGCGCAGAGTTACTACAATAGCCCCTCTCACACGCTGCTGACAAAGACCCTCACAAGTGTTGAGTCTGGGAGCATCTGTTCGGCTTTCTTTCCCCCCGTCCCCCTCCTCTTAATAAAATCCGCCACAAAAGTCCAATTCCAACGCCAGTAACATAAAACGTGACGTTAAGTGATGTGGGGGATAACAACTGTCATCTCCGGTTACTCACCGGCCACGTGAAGCCGAAGGAAAAGCGGATCGGGTTGGTGAAGCTGTCCGCGTTGGTCTCCGGCACCTGGAAGGAGTTGGAGCCGAGCACGGGAGTCACCGCGCCGCCGTAGGTGCAGGGAGGCTCCGGGGAGACGCTGGCCTGGTAGTGCTTCAGGCAGACGCGAAAGAAAGTCTTGCACTCGCACTGCTGGTGGTCCTGCGGGTGCGCGGCGCCTCCCGGGCAACAGTTGGCGTTCCCAGCGATCCCCTTCTTGTTGAGAAACTCCTGCAGTTTGAGCTCGAACACGCCTGAGCACAAAACCTGCAACACAGGGGGAGGGAAACACTCATATGGGATCGATCTGAGATAAGGGTAATTAGAATGAGACGTTCGGAGCCCTGGATGCTGGGACGTACCTGGCAGGTGAGTGAGGACAGACTGACAATGAGGAGCAGACACAGGCGTCCCATTGTGTTGACAGCCGCCTCAACAAGTCTTGAAAGCTCCGCGGGTCCGTGTCTCACCGCTCAAACACTCATGGAGAAAGTTTTCAGAGCTGCGCTCACGGTCAAGGCGACGCTTTTACGCACAAGGCTGGAAATTAGGAGACACTTTTCCTGGAGCGCGTCAGTCACCTGTCCATCTGCCCACTCCCTCAAAAGTGTCTTTTTTTTCTTTTTGTTTCTTCCTTTTCGTTGCTCAAAACGAATCGGACTTTCACAGATTCGAGTAAGATCCAGCGGAATAGTCCCCCTCAGAGAAATCCAGAGCGGAAATACCGGAGTTAATTCCAACTAGGTTGTAGAAAAGATGGTCTTCTTTACTTGTTCCAGTTTATGTCTTTGTTTTCAGGATGTCTTCCTCCTGAACACAGGAAACAACATCCGCTCCTCTCTTTTGATGTCATGTATCAGTGAGTACGTCTGATAGGTTTTCTGCCCTGCGCAGGGTTTTATACAGGGCCAGCAAGCGAAGGGTAATAAGATGCAAATGAGGCCCTCTGCCTCTCTTCTTCCCCTCCTTCCACCACCACCACAAGTCCGCCCCGGGGCCATTACAATGAAACAGGAGGAGGGTAGGAGTCCCCCCTCCAAAAAAAAAAAAAAAACCTGAACCCCCCCTCTCTTTTTCTCTCAAGGGGACAGACCAAATGGCTACTGAGCTGTTAAATGTACAACAGCCCCTCGCTTCCCCTGATGGCTCCCTCCTCCACAGCGCGGAGCCCATTTACATTCCGACAAATTCTTTTACAGAAATCCTCAACTCTACCGGGAGATTTATTATGTGCGCAGCGGCAGCAGCCAGTTGGACGGTGGGTTCCCATATCTGGGCCGACTATGGTGGAGTCTTGGCTGGCCTGATGCTGGCTGGCCGCTAACGACCATCTGCTCCATCGCATTCCTATGGTGATACCCCGCTTTTTTTTTTTAACGTTCCCACCCAAAACCAGTCAATCTGTTCCCGTTCAAGTAATTCATCGACGCTTAGATCTGCTCCGCGCACAACTAAACTAAAAATGTGCGTCACAGTCGCTACATTAATTCCGTCTTCGCTGGCAGACGAACTATTTTGGTTAATTGGTTAATTAGTAAATCTAAATGTAATCTACGAGTTACATCGCAGCTTTCTATGAATATTTACTGTGTATTTGTGTTTGTCTCGATTCGCGTCAGGCCAGTAAACATCCATCTTTACCACATCACATCGGTGCGCAAATATCCCCCCCAATTTACGAACAAGGATCACGGATCAGTTAATGTCTCGTCATGTCTGTATTTTCCTTACATGCTCTTTGGTATAGGCAGCAGAAAAAACAAACAAAAAAAAAACAGTACATGGTGGTGTGTCACTCGCGTGGCTGTCATTAAGGGACTTTGTGAGGAGAGGGCGGAGGGAGGAGGAGGAGGAGGAGGAGGAGGGACTCTCAGAGGGAGTAAACTTTTTTCTCTTTGTGCTTTCAGCTGTATGTTAATTGGGCCTGCAGCACCTGCTCTCTCACAATAATACAACACCAGAGACACACACGCACACAGACACGGACAGCACGGCAGGTTTTATAAATGGTAACCTGAACGTGTGTTTATGTATATAAATAAACATTTTATCATCTGGAGACGTGAGCATGAGCTGGTTTCTACAACCTGCTGCTCAAAAAGTGACCTGCAGCCTGTTTGTCTCACAGCCGCATGACATCAGCTCACATGAACTCACAACCTTATTTGCATATGTGTGTGTGTGTGTGTTTTTTTATCCGCAGAAAAATGCGGGGAAGAATGCACACTTGTTGCCATGAAGTTATCATGAGCTGCCCTCTGGCCCTAAAGCAGCTTTAGATGCTAATAGTGCTTTGATCAAACTTTAAGTAAATCCCTCAGCATGCCACTCTCCTTCTGCTGCGTCATATCTGTAAAATATCTTAAGGCTGTCTCATTTCAGCCCTGGGTTACAGCAATAGCTGTGAATACATGGGCCATGTTCACAAGTAAATGAAAGGCTTTGAAGAGAGTTGCTGATTGGCCAGAGCAGTTAATTGGTGTTTGGTGCCACACTTGTCAATCACCTCAGGCTTAAAGCTTTGCAGCAGGGACTGCAGAGAGGGCCTCCTCTCTGAATTATTTATTTATTACTATGTTGGCACAGCAGCAGCGCTGCATCAGAGCACCATGCCACTTCTTATGTCTATCAACATGCACACAGGTTGGCGAAGAGGAGAAGGAGGAGGAGGAGGAGGAAGGCCTTAATTAACATCTCCAGTTGAAGCTGCGCAGCATCAGCGTTTTGGTCCACAAACAAGGAGCTAATTCACAAGTTAACGCATGTCCAGCTTTCAGCCACAGGGCAGATGCGTTTCTACGTTCACAGTTTAGGAAGAACAAAGGAGTGTTCCCACAGCATGATGCTGCCTCCACCATGTCTAGGACAATAAATTCAATGAAAAGTGTAGAAACATTGTGCAGCCTCAGTCTGTGTCACATGCACTTATTAGTTTACTAACGACTAGTTAAATTTAGGGGTTTTTTTTTACATTTATTTAAGTAAAACTTTCAAAAATGGACTATTTCTGCTTTTACTTTTACCTAAGTAATTTTATTATTAAATATTTCTACTCTTACCTGTGTAAAATGTCGAGATTCTCATCCCACTTTGACCAAATATGAAGTTTGTTATAATCAAAAAAATCACCAGACACAGACCTGCAGCTTTACTGAAAGAAATTTATTACATTATCTTTTCTTTTGCCTGATTTTATTGCTTTGTAGAGATGTTATTTATGTGAATTAATTTCATTTGGCCCATAAATAACCAACATTTACACATAACCTTATATTTAGTGTTTTTTTTTATTTTTAAAAAGCTGTTTTATTAATTTTGTGTTTTCACAAACAAACAAAAGAAAACAGAATTGTACACCAAGCTTTTATATCACATTTAAAAAGCAGAGGAGAAGAAAAAAGGGGTAAAACTACATCAGAGTCATATTAATTTATACCTTCATTGGTCTTATGAATAACCTACTGCAATAATGATCCATGATGTAACTTTGAAATGATCAGATGCTCATTAACTGAGTCGCCTTTTTATTTTGTTGAAGTAATGCCACTTTTACTTGACTACATGTTTTTAGGTACTCTACCCTTGGTGTTTTAAAAGCTATGTTGTATTGTAGAAATTGCAGTTGCAGTTATTGCAATTTTTTAAAATATACTTTTATACTAATTTAAAAGCCTAGCATCTAATTCCTATTATTACCCACATGAACTAATGTTGACTGCACTTCTCTCTGTTAAATATGCAAATCAATAGGAATACGTTTAAGCTAAAGTTATGTTGAAGCAGTGCCACTCTTCCTTGCAGGCCCAAGGAAAATGCAAATTAAGCAGCTGATTAAACCCCCTATACCACCAAGAGGCCTCTAATGCTCCACTGTATAGCTTTATAACATACATATTTAAAATAAAACTGAATAATACAAATTGAATTATTCGCTTCACATAGCAAACTGATTTCTATCACTTTTATTGTCAAAGGTTTCTCTCTTTTTGCTGCTGCCACTCTTGGAAAGATTTCAAACTCACTAACTGTAAATTTGGTGTTTATCCGCTGACATAACTTTCAAATAGATAAAATAATATGTCACACTTAAATTCCTCTCTGCTTTCCAAAACCCAAGTTTCGTTTTGGTCTTAGCTGCTCCTCCAAGGCTAACATAATACAAACAGTAGCTTAGGAACGATAAAGCATCTGGTGTTGGTGTTGGCATGGGGGGCCCCCAAACAAGAATCTGCTTAGGGCCTCACAAAGGTTCGGACCGGCCCTGCTTCCTTGAGCATAATGTTTGGGTACTATGCAGTTTTGGCGTCTGTGGATTGCCTGAATGAAAGGCCTTCAGGAGCTGACACCATTATATTCCTGCCTGCCTCAGTTTTACCCCCTGAGCTGCTGCTGATTTCTGATTCCAGCTCACAGTGTTGCTGCCACCGGGGCTCGTTTGCCATAAAATCTGCGCCTTGAAGGCTTTTATTCAAACTCATCCCGTCGTCCAGAGGTCCACTGTGCCCTCTCTGCGTCTCCCATCAGTCACTCATCGCCATGACGTGGCGCACATTTCCTGATTATGGCAGCAAAGCGTGACTGAAAGGCATGTGAGATGAGCCCCCTCGACATCAAGACGACACTTCTCCCCCAAAACATAATTCATGTCAGGAGACTGCGTGTCTTAAGGAAACAGCAGAAACTCCTCCCCTCTGATCCCTCTCCTTTTGCGTGCGTGCATGTAGATGCGTGGACGCGCGTGAGTGGGAGTGGGGGCGGGGTGAAAATTTGTTTAAGTGGAGGTCTGATTGTTTAATTGAAGTGCTTTCCTGTTGTCTGTCTGTGTGTGCGCGCGTGAGACCGAATGGCCGCCTGTGAGCGCGTGTTTGTCGGTGCACGCGCGCGCTCGCTCAGCGGGAACAACAAAGGGAGAGGTCTCGCGCCCCGCCGCCCATTCATCTCTTTCTCTGGTGAAGTAATTCCCATTGATTCCCATTGAACGGCGAGTCGTGAGCCCCTCAGGGGAGAACTTGTGATTTGTGAAGGGTCGCGAGGACAGGACACGCCCCTCCTCGAGCCCCGGCCATCTGCTCGCCAAACACCACAACACCGACCGAGCCGCCACCAAATGTCCGCTCTCATCACTGCCTGCCTACTGGCTCTTATAACGCATCATTTTTCTGTTCCATGGTGTTTTATTTCTCTGCCTGGTCTGCAGCAGCAGCAGCAGCAGCAGAAAACGCCTCGCTGAGCTGTGGGTGAAGCTGCTGGCCTCCAGAGCCAAATCACAGTGGTGGCATGCAGGGGCTGTGAGGTGGCCATATGGCCTGTGAGTGTGTGTATGTGCGTGCCAAGAAATGGATGGATGGCCATCGTGGGAACCTCCACATCATCACCATCACACCAGCTACACACACACATGCACATTGTTGCACATTGTTGCACATTGTTGCACATAGCGTGATGGCCTTTGCTGCAGTCAGCTGTAGAAATCAAAAGTTCAAAAGGACTCTGGACTGCATGGTTCGGCATAGAGCTGGTTCTGGGTTACATGAAAGAATCCTCATGTCGATTAGCATCACTGCTAAGTGAGATAAAGCTCAGCTGGGATGGATATTCAGTCATGCAGAAGTCTAGCTGTTAGAGAACTCTGATAGATACTAAAGCACAGGTATCAACCTCCAGTCCTCAAGGGCCTCTTTCCTGCAGTTTTTAGATGTACCACAGGTACAAAACACTGAATGAAATGATATGATTACCTCCTCTTTGTCTAGATACGTTCTCCAGAACCTTAATGATCTAATTATGGCGCAGTAGAGGCACATCTAAAAGTTGCAGGACATCTGCCCTCCAGGACTGGAGTTTGACACTCCTG